TAGATGGTTTGGAATTAAGTGAAGTCAGGTATGAAGCTTTATGTACAGTGAATGATAGCTATTAATCAAAGCATGTTGTCTCAACTTCCTTACATTCAATTCTAACCCACTTGCCATCTGGTTCTAACCTACTTGCCATTCTTTTCATTCTTTGCATCACTATTGCAAAGAAACTAAGCAATTACTAATTCCAAATGACAAACTTCAGTCCTTATCTGATTGGCTTTTCTGCAAGTACTGGAAATTACTCACCATTCTATCTTTGAAAAAAATTTTTTAAAGATTTATTTATGCATACAAGAACTGAGGTATAGGCCAAAGGTACAGAAGGTGAGAGGGTTCATCAGAAACAGTGGGGAGCAGGCAGATATACTGAAATACACTGTTGAGGGGAGCAATGGGTGAGAGTGAAGAGGTCTGCTCTGCCATATATGGTCAGGTCCCTGGCTGGGGATTGAACTTGTGCTGCGGTGACTGTCAGTAGCTTCCTAGTGCTGATACATATCCCCTTGTGCCACCAGGGAGGCCCCATCTTTGAAATTTTCTTCCTTTGGTTTCCCTAGAGACAGGGTATCCTGATTTCTTCACATTTCTCTGCCTTCTTTGAAAATATCTTTTATGCTGGTGAGGAACAGTGGGAAAATTCTAAGTGCACTAAAAACTTACTGCAAGTAGAGCAATACAAATCTGTCATTATCTAAATATGTAGTATTTTGTGGTTCTTTCATTGCTTATGTTTTCAAATTTAAAAGAAAGTTTTAACTTTATTAAAGCAGTATGTGCATATTTGTATACCAATGACAGCCACTCAGAGCAAGGTCTTCTTGATCATTAAATTAGCACTTTCACCCTATTATCCTCTATTACTGTTTTTTCTTCATAGTTCATCTCTTACTTGTGTGTTATCTACCTCCTTCACTAAATTCTCTTCTGTTCCTCATTAAGTTTTGGTTTTATTGGGGTGTAGGAGAAGAGTTGGAAAATGTCACCATGCTCCCCCACTAAGCTATTTTGAGGGAAGGGATGTTTTATTTCCTGCTCTATTCAAAGCACCTGGAATAATACCTGACACCCATTAAGCTCAAACAATATTTGATTGGCTAGTTAACTGAAACATCCCCCCTATTGAACCAGTCATTTGAAGGTTCTACCTCTTACTAATTCTCCCAAATCTCTGCCTACTGTTCATGCTTTACAACTGACTCATATCTTGTCTGAGAGGGCCACAACCCTATCCAGTCCTGTTCTCCTACAATCCATATTCTGAGTTGTTGACGTGATCCTAGTCCATCCATAGGTCCTTACTGTCTCTTAAGTCCAAATTCTATAGCAAAATGGACAAAGCTCTGCATCATCTGGACTGAGACTAATTCTAGTGTCACCTCTTGCTGACCCCTTCCACAAAAACCATGCTCTAACCATTCTAACTATTTACAGTCACATGTTCTTTGCACATGCTATTTTCTCTACCCAGCATAATGCCAATTCCTACCCTTCAATGTCTTCTTGGCCTGACTAACTCAAATGAGTCATCTCTCAGTTCTGCCTCTTAGTTCCAGAGCTGATCTCTGTACCTTTACACAACATTGTATTTTATTTCACACTCTTGTGTGAACTTCCCATCTCCAATACTGTATCTACAGCACCCAGCACAGTGCTTCGATAGTCAAGAAATGGTTACTGAAATGAAAGCCTGCAATCCATTTCATATCCAGGCCTTCACCCAAAATTGTTTTACCCTTTTTGCTACTATACCCTGATAGCTATGTTGCTGACCTTTCAAAGTAAATGACACAGTACATTGGTATTTTAAATTAACGTTTTAAAAAGATTTATTTATACATACAAGTGGGGTACAGACCAGAGGTGTGTGTGTGGGGGTGAGAGGATTCACCAAAGACAGAGTGGGAAGTGGAAGAGGCAGATATACTAAATCACACTGCTGAGGGGAACAGCGGACAAGACAGGAGAGGTCTGCTACGTCATGTGGGTCAGTTCCCTGGCCGGGGATTGAACTCACTGCTGCAGTGGCTTAGGATAGCTTCACAGTGCTGCACTTTAACCTATTCCGCCAGCAGGGAGGGCCTAAATTAGAAGTTTTTTTTTTAAGATTTTATTTATTTATGCTTACAGAACTGGGGTACAGGCCAGAGGTGTGGGTGAGAGGGCTCACCAGAGACTGAGTAGATCTACTGGAATACACTGCTGAGGGTAGCAGCGAGTGGGTCAGGAGAGGTCTGCCATGCCATGTGGGTCAGCTTCCTGGTGGAGGATCGAACTCATGCTGTAGTGGCCTCGAAGAGCTTCATAGTGCAGTGCTTTAATCCATTGCACCACCAGGGAGAGCCCCTAAATTAGAAGTTTTTAACCTCATCTATGGATTCAATAGCCAGCAATCTTTTCACGATCACTCAAGTCCTGTTCCCATTTACCTTGGTGGCCATTATAAAACAGAAACAAAAAGTGCTCAAACGTTAATAGAAGGATTAATAATTAAAAGAAAGAGACCAGCTTTGATTCCACCTTGCTCCTAAAGGTGTTGATAATTTGAGGGACAACTTGGCAAATCTTTCTTGTGAGTATGCAAAAATGAGTGCATTTCTCCTTTGTCCCTAAGCAAATAAAACAATGCCTACTACTCTATGACTTACTTTTTCAAGACTATATTTCTGCATTATCACACACAGATTTTCCTCATTCTTTTACCAGTTGTATATTTTTTCATTGAAAACATATACCACACCAAAAAAACAAACAAACAAACAAAAAAACAACAAACATATACCACAATTTAATTTTTCTGCTACTGGTGGACATTTGGATGGTTTCCAATTTTTCATGATCTCCCCAGTAGTTCAACACTTATTCATGCTCCCATCCCATTTTCACTTTTCTCACAAGTGTGATCTTACTCCTATTCACAGAGGAAATGGAAGCTATGAAGAATGAACTCTTAAATAACTTTCTATTCCTTTATCTACATACTGATTTGTAATTACATCCATCTTTTTCTCTCCTAAGGCAAATTTCTTTACTCATGCTAGCTAGTAATATTAAATTTTGTTTCCAAGTCTTTTCAGTAACTAATCCTCTCTTGCTTCTTCCAATTCATCCCTATCTTTTGTTTTCTCTCCTAAACCTATGTAAGCATGCTTATTCATTTTCCATCTAAAGACTACTTTTACTCCTCACAAGGACAGACCTTTTCAACATGTGTCCCTGTGGCATATGGATTATTTCAGGCTGAAGTCAACTGAGGACTTGTAGGCACAAGAGAAACTTCTACCATTCCTTTAACTACCTAAAACAATGAAAATTGGGATTACTACTCCACAACTAGTGTTTTCCCCAGAAATAACCTTTCTATTGGAGAAGCCTATCTATGATGGCTAGGGAAACATCTAATCTGATCTTCATCAGGAGTTCCCCTCCTCTCTGAATCCCTATCTTTTCCTTATAGCTCAGGATATATATTTTGCTCCATTGGTTTTAGAATCCATATTCATGTGGAATTCTCCACACACATTAATTAATTTTTTCCCCATTAACTCATTAGTTAATTGTGATTGCTTGACCAGCCTGAGAAGAACCAAGAGGTTAGGTAAGAGAAAATTTCTTCTCTGTTCCTACAAAGCATAGTTTCTTGAAAGAGTAATAATGTCTACCGTCAGAATCTCATCTCCTGTGTCCCTCACCTGCTGGCTGGCTTCCAATCTCACTACTTTTGCTAGTTAAAAGTTACTTTTGCTAGGTAAGGTCACCAGAAACCTAATTCCCAAATCCACAGGCTCTTGCTTAGGCTACATTTTACTTACCCCCTATATGGTATTATAAATCTTTTTTTTTCTTTCTTCCTAGGCTTGAGAAATATGAATCCAGGTTTTCCTTCTATTTCTGACCACCCACCCCTAAACATTGGTCTTCACCAGGATTCTGACCTACATGATCTTCTGACTTTACATCATTTTCTTGGGTAACCTCACCTACTTGGCTCCAGGTTGCACAAATCCTATGCTTTCTATTTATTACACTTAGATAAACTTAAATGCTTCCAATTGAACTGAACTATTTCTCTTACCTCCCACCCCAACTTCCCAATCTCTTCAGTGAATGGCATTACCATATACCCAGTCACCTAAGTTGGAAACCTAGGTTCTACTCTTTTACTTTTCGTTTTGCAATGTCACCGAGAAGTACTTCTCATTCCATCTCTACTTGCTAATTTGTCTTCATCTTTCATTTGGCATCACCCTTTCCTAGTCCACCCGTTTTCATATTGCTACCAGATATCGCTCAAAATGAGGCGTTGATCCTGAGCTTTGTAATCATTGCATTACATGTGTTCTGTATTCCACCCATCCAGAACTACCTGTTGTTCTATGGACAGATCACGTAGTTCCATGCTTCTAGGTATTTTTGACCCCTCTGCTTAGAATGCCCTCCTACCTTCCCTCTAACTATGGCAAACTCTTCATAAGCTAGCTAAAGGTGTCCTTTGGAACAGCTACCTATTCTTATTCCATAATCAAGAGTTGGTAATTCCCTCTCAGCATGGAAACTTACAAATATTTATTGCAATAATCACTTTTTATTAAGCTTATTTTTGTCCATTCTCTCATTTTAAACCTTAAGTTCCTGCGATTAGGAACTATTATTTCTGTATCAGCATGTGGCAGACACAGATAAAAATAGGTGACTTGACAAAACATTGAAGGAATGAATGAAGCCATGTATCCACCCAATCTCCCAAGCCAAAATTTTGGAAGTCATCTTCCATACTTCTTTTTCCATCCCCAAATACCAATCAATTTCTGTTTATTTCACTCTCCAAAGATCTCTTAAATGCATTTCCCTCCTCCCCATCTTAATGCTATAGACTCAGTTTAGGTTCCATTACCCTTTACTTGAACCAGATTTGCTCCCCTCCAAACCATTCTCCACGCTACTGCTGAAATTTAAAATAAAATTTTATTACAAAAATAATACATACTTGTAAAAAAATTTAAATACAGAAATAAAAGCACAATTCCCCTCCCAGTATACATACAACCATATATCCCTCCTCCAATCCCACATCCCAGAAGTTATCATTATTAACAATTTAGCACAGATCCTTTTAGACTTTGCATATACAAGCATATATAAACACATAAAAAATATATACAGTTTTGTCTTTTACAAAAATGGGATCATACTTGTCCGTTGCATATGATTCTTCCATTTCTTCATTCTAAAGACAGAAAATTTCTAGATCACATATCTGATAATATCACTCCACCAGAGTTCCTCATTCCCCATAATATGAGATTCGCTCATGAGCATTATCAAATGCAAAGCTCTTTATGATCTGCTTTCTGCCCATCTTTTAGTATCATCCCTAGCCATTCCAGCACTGAAAGACTTAACATAAACCACTTTAAATTCTCTCTGAAACAAGGCAGGTACAAACAAACAAACAAACAAACTAGGAACACACTCTGCCATTTCTAGATTTTGGCCTTTTCACTTTACGTTACAGTCTGCCTGTCTTTTTCATCTGGCAAGCTTCTACTAATTCTTCAACAAATAGCTTAAAAATTACCTCTAGGAAGACATCTCTGACTTTTTCAAACAGTATCACTCCTCTATTTTCCCCTACACTTTATATCTAATTCCTTAATTGCACTAATCTGACAGAACTGTAATGATATATTAACAAGTTTAGAATTCCATCCCCTCCCACAACTTGAGTGAGCTCTTTGGCTAAAATAATTGTGTCTTATTAACCTTTGCATCCCAAGGATCTGATAGAGTGCTTATAATGGAACATATATTCAACAGCAAATCTGTTGAGATTTTTAGAATTTAGAAATGTTAACTTAGTACCTACTATGCACAGAACCATATCCTAAGCATGAAAAGAAACAAAAGACACAGTCTTTGCCTTAAGAAACTTACCATTTTCCTACCTTTTCACCAGGGGAGGGATGGGGAAGGGACAGAACACATTTACATGGCAACATATCATTTCTGACATAATAGGCAGTTTCAAAGACTTATAATCATTTGCCTCAAATCCATTTAGGAACAAGGCATTATATAACCAAATAAATAATAAAATAATGGGCAGTTTGTCCAGTAGGTTTATGTTTTTAGTGTGGTACAGAGTCCACCAGAACCAAATCTGCTGTCCCAGCAGGGGGGTTGTCACTTATTACAGCCTAAAATTAGAAAGCTGAGATGATACCATGCTTGGAAAATTTCTAACACATCAAGAGGACATAAAGGTATTAGTCCTTTTGTAATTTTTCCTTTTTCCCCAGGGGAAACAAAATGATACCAAGAGCAATAAATGGATTTAAAGAGGGGCACTAGAGAAGGAGATTGCTCTATTTCTATTTGTGGAAAATGGAAAAGGATTGCTTGGTTTTAAGTCAAAGGGTGGCAGTGGCCCCAGGAAGATCAGGAGAGGCGATTATCATTTACTATTTTTTAAAGGCTAAGGTGTTAATCTGGTGATTTCATGATTAGACACTGTACAAATATAAACAAATTGGGGAAAGGTGAACCACCTAGGCTGGAGAACAGGGAAGGCTGACCAAGGAGGCCCAAAGGAAGCCTCATTCATCAGAGTCCAAATCACTGTCCCCAGCAATGGAGTGGAAATCCTCACTGTCCTCCTCGTCCTCTGACAGGTGGACCTGGCTTAGTACACTCGGCCCAGAGCGCTGCTCTTCCTCCTCCTCATCTTCTTCCTCCTCTGATACCTCATACCCACCGATGCTGCTGAAGCTTGTGTCTTGGGTGTTCGACTTGGGATCAGGCTCCTCATAGCTCCCATAACTGAGAAGAGAAACATGTCATCTCTCAAGCTCGGGCACCATCCTCTAGCTGACCATTCCCATTCTCCTATGCCACCAGGGGATCAGCCCATCTCACCTCCCCTGGACACTAGAATGTCTGGTTCTAGACTGTTCTACAGTTTCCCAAGAAAAAAATGAACTGTTCAAAAATCTCAACTTGCCAACTTCATATACACAAGAACCTGAATGAAAGAACTTCCTATAGCCTGAACAACACACTGCTAACTTACATGACCATAAATGCTCTGAGAGCCTCAGTTTCACCTACCACTTACAGCTTCACTCATCATCCAATTAGTCAACAGTCCTTAAAATTTCGCCTCTTCACTGTATCTTGTTTCTTAACCCCCTCCTTTCCATCCCTATTCTGCCTACGTTGGCTTAGTACTTTGTTATCTCTGGCCTACACTATTGAAATCATTCTTCATATGCCTCCAGTCTTGCTCTTCTCCAATTAATTCTTCACACTTCTGCCAGAGTGCTCTTTATTTTTTGTTTGTTTGTTTATTCTTAATTTTACTCAAAAAAAAAATCATACAAGTAATGCATGTTCACTGGTGGAGGGGAGGGAGGAATTTACACCAGAAAAAAAAGGAAAAAAAATCACCCAATAACTTCCACCACCCAGAGATAATCTTTTTATGACCTTCCAAATTTTTTTCTATGCACTTCACTTATATGCTTAAACAATTTTTTATTTACAAAACTGGAATACTCCCATGCTTTTCAAGACTCTGCTTTTTTCACTAGTGATTATAACGAACATCTTTCCATGTCAATAAACATACACCTATAGTATCATTTTGAAAGCTGTATGGTATTCCACTACATGGCTATAACATGATTTATTAACAGTCTGTCACTAGGACATATAATCTGTCTTCAATTTTCCCACTGTTAAAAACAATGCTGTGATAAATATCCTTGTACAAACAACTCAATGAAGGTTTTATTATTCCCATAAAATAATTTCCTAGACATGGAATTTTGGGGCCAAAGAGGATGCACATATTAAGTTTTTAGTTTATAATGATAAATTGCTATACTTTTCTCCCATCCACTCCATTTTATCAATTTACATTACCAGCCATTTGAGAATATCTTTCTCCTTATACCTTTTGTAACACTGGGTATTATCATTCATTTTATTCACTACCAATCTATTAGGTAAAAAATTGTTTTTTGTTTCATTGTTTTACTGCATTTCTCTGATTCTCAGGGAAGTTGTTTGATCATATTACTCTCACTCAATACCTGCCCAAATTTTCAGACTCTTCATGATTTGGTGCTTACCTCTTTAAATTACATGGTTCCTATGACTGTAGCTGGATTAAGCAAAAATTCTAGCAACACTGGGTTAGCAGTGCTCTTGCTTCTGTGTCTCCGTATAAGGTGTCCTTGCTTTCTAGAGTGACCTTTGTTTTTGTATTGATCTAATTCCTGTTCTGATTCAGGTTGATTTTCTAATCAGTTTCCCCATCCTAGACGTACTCATCCAAAAAAATCTCATGGCTTTCTATCACAGCACTTTTTCATCTTATAATATAACAGTCTGTTTACTCATTTCAGGTTTCTTACTAGACTGAACTCTTGAAGGAAGGGACCTGAATCTTAGTTGCTTTTGTACTTGTGATAAATACTTGCTGAATGAATACAGATCAACTGCTTGATGAATACTGCTGGCTAGATGTACCATATGTATCTTAAGTCCAATATGCACAAAGACAAATTCAAGTTTTTCCTCCTTTCCTATCCCTTCTAATACCTGTTCTTCTTCTTTCTTATCTCAGTGACATTCCCACTCATTATAGATGTGATCTTACCTGAATTAAACTAGACAGCTAGTGATTATGTCTCTTCCTCTGACCCACCTACTCCTAACAGATGGCTCCAAGTTGAGATGCTTCACATTGCCCTAGGGCTATTTAACACACAAATTTAATGTTACTTTCTATTCCTTAAAGTAATGATTACCAAAATCCAAATGCCACTTTAGGTCCTCTACAATACAATCCGATGCTATTTCTAGTTGTCCTCAACCATACTTTGTTGTATTTCTGTGCCTATGAATATACTTTTCCATCTCTAAAGACCTCATCTTTTGCCACCATATTTACATAGTAGACTCCTATTATATCTGTAAGGCCTAGTTCAATTTCAAATGTCTCCCCATCTGTGAAATTTTCCCTGATTTACTCCAAGCAGAGTGAGACATTCCCTCCTCAGTGGTGACTTGGCACTTTGAATTTAACTTATGCTATGGCAAACATCACATTACATTTGCAATGATTTTGTTGCATCAGTCTTTTCCGCTAGACTGTGAGCTCCTCAAGGGCAGGATATGTCTTGCTCCTCTGTGTATCCCCAAGGGATTAGCACAGTGCCTGGCCCTAGTAGGTACTCAGGAAATGTTTGATGGATGAAAGTAATCTGATGCTGAGCCCTTTGACATCATAGCTGGGCACTGCTGCCACAGCCCTGTAGCATGTTGCTGCCGATTACCTGATGTTGCTATCTTCCAAACCATGGGAAGCCTCCCCACCGTCTCCCTCATAGGACATCATGCTTTCTTCATTTTCCATGCCCATTCTTGTGTTCTCCTGAAGCATTCGTGGCTGCTTGGGTCTTATCCCACCAGATCCCACATCGGAGTCACTTCCACTCTCACTCAGCTGGATAGCTGTGAAATGAGACAGAGCCTGAGATAAGCTTGACAGAATTAACATCTATGGCGTAGAATCAGAGGACTCTAGGCCCATCCACAACATTGCAGAATTGACTGGGATCACTCCTTCTCCTAAAAACAACTACAGGGCCCTCCCTGGTGGCACAAGGCGGTAAGAGCAAGGCACTATGAAGCTATCTGCAGCCACTGCAGCATGAGTTTAATCCTGGCAAGAGAGGTGACCCACATGGCATGGCAGACCTCTGACCTGCCCATTCACTGCTCCTCTCAGCAATAGTTTTCAGTAATCTGCCTGTTCTGCTCCCCACTCTGTCTATGGTGAATACTTTCACCCTCTGCACCTCTGGCCTGTACCCCAGTTCTTGTATGCATAAATAAATAAATCTTAAAAAAAACTACAAAAAATAACAATGTTTGCTCATAGGAAGATCCAGATGCTCCATTCCATCTATAGAGTATCAGGACTTTCCCATGAAGATCTCAAATTAAGGTTGGGAACTCTAGAGGGGAAGAATTGGGAGTGTGACAGTAGATACACATCAACTGGTAGAACTGGCTGGGGCTCACCGCCCAAGCCACACTGGGGAAACCTGGTATATTGCTGTTGGTATGGGCACTAAAAATTCTCTTCCTACCACCCTCCCAGAAGAGATCAAAGAAGTTATGGCAGGCAGATTTAGGCTACACACCATAAAAAGCCCAACAGAAGACAGAAAAACTTGTGAGATGACTCACAAGTCCTTTGGTAAATTAAACAAATGGCATGTAAGTATTGCAGTCCCACAGAACCAGTAGTAGAGGTAGAGCTGGGGAGGTAACGACCATTGTTGATGGCCACAGCAGTAAAGTAATGTACAACACATTCAGGTACAATACCACCTGCCTGCCAAGTACAACTTAGTCCTGGAACCCGAACCTGAGCCTGGCAGTCCAGACCTAACTCCCACCACCTATAGACTCATGATATGAAGTTTCATAGCTCATGATTTGAAATAGAAAGGTGCAGCACAGAGGTGAAATAAGGTGTTACGACAACCCCCCAAAAAAGAATACAGCTTGCTGTGGAATGAGAGAAGAGATAGAGGTGACTACCTTCGCCCCTCAAACAGAGATATTATTAAAGTCTGAGACTCCTCTTCTGCCTTACCTCACACCAAGGTAAACTAAGAAAAGAAACAAAATTAAATCCCCAGCTCCCCAACCACACACACATAGAAAAACACACATGCCAAAAAAATAAAAAAAGGCAGCACAAATGCCTAGGAAGCAAGAACATCTGAAAACATGATGGAAAAGCACACTGAGAATAATAAAATCCTGAGTCAAATATAAAGGATACAGAAATAGAACATCTATCAGCAGACCTCAAACAACAATATTAAAAATGCTAAATGAGCTACTGGATGGTGAGTCAAAGGCAAACAGGTACAAGATCTTAGAAAGGAGATCAAGGAACAAAGAGTTCGTCGCAGAAGATACTTAATATATAAAAAGATCATAAAAAGAGACTCTAAATGAAATGCACACATTTTAGAAGACACTTTAAATAGAATTAAACTGACAGAAGAATTTCAGATATAGAAGACTTAAGAGATAGCATCAAGACAAAAGAAAAACGCGGCAATTCTACAAGAAATATCAGACTCATTTAGAAGAGGAAATAATTGGAATCCCAGAAGGTAGAGAGACAGAAATGGAAGCAGAAATGCTATACAAAGAAATAGTAACAGAATTTTCTCAAACCTAAGGAAAGAATTAAAAATGGATATTTAGGAAGCAAAGAAAACACTCAAATTTTAAATAAAAGAAGGCCTACATCTGGACATATTATTGTCAAATTATCAAGAATCAAAAAAGAAAAAGGATTTTGCAGGAAGCAGAGAAACAGGCAACTTATAAAAGCTCACAAATTAGGCTTTCCTTGAACTTCAACCCACTCTCCAGGAATGAAGAGTGGAAAGAAGCATTCACAGCCATAAAAGACAACAACCGTCAGCCAAAAATACTCCATACTGCAAAATTATCATTCAAGTATGAAAGTGAAATAAAGGTCTTCACAGACAAACAGAAGTTTACCACCATCAGATCTGCCCCTTAAGAAATGTTGGAAGGCGTTGTTCTACAAGAAAAAGTAAAACATAAATTTCCAAGCAAAATGAGAATAGGAGTATAAAACCAAAAGCATGAACAAGAATATTATGAGTAAACAACAAAACACTAAATGAAAGGAAGAAATGGACAGAAACTGTATAGCAGCAAAGATGTCAGAGAACAGACAACAGTTCATGGAGGACACATGAAATAGGAATTTAAATAGTAATCATTAATGGAAAATCTTTTCCTTACTAAGGAATGGCCAACCAGAAAGGGCAGAGAGAAACAAATGGAAAAAGAACAACAGAAAAATAAAACAATCAAAAAAAATGACTGATAATAATTCATATAAATACTTACTCTCAATTTGAATGAAAAAGTTTTGGCCATCCATATATTGTTTACAAGAGACCCATTTAACACCAAAAGACAAAACAAACTAAAAGATTAGAGCAAATCATACATGCTAGTAATTCAAAGAGAAAAGCAGGAACTATTTCTTCTGCCATATAACTTCTATCTTCTACCACAGAAACTAAACTTTCAACAATTAAAAGTAATTATGGACAAAGATGGATACTATATAATGACAAAGGGGAGAATTTACAAAGAAGACATACTGTTATTAATATTTATGTACCTAATACAGGAACACATAGTTACATAAAGCCACTATTAAAGAGATCTAAAACAATGTATTAACAAAAATATAATCACTGTCAGAGACTTCAACACACCACAGACAGAAAGGAATAGATCATTCAGAGAGTAAACTAACAAAGAAATATAGGCCTTAAATAAAGTGTTTGAACAGATGGATTTATTGGACATTTTTAGAGCTTTCTATTCCAAAAGAAATAGAATTCACTTACTTTTCTAGTGCACATGAAACATTCTTAAGAATAGATCATATAATAGGACATAAACCATGTCTCAGAGACTACACAAAAATAGAAATTATATCAAGCATCTCCGTAGACCACAGTGCTATAAAGCTAAAAGTCAATCACAAAAAGAAGTCTGGAATAAACCAAAATGTAGAGAATAAACAAAATGCTTCTGAACAACTCCTAGGTCACTGAAGAAATCATAGAGATCAAAAAGTATCTGGAGATGATGGAAATGGAGAGACAAGTTACCTAATGTGATGCTTTTCACTATGTGAAAAGTTTATAGCAAAACAGACCCAGATAAAAAGAAAAAACCCACAAAAATCTCAAATACCTAACTTTATAGGTGAAGGAACTAAAAAAAAGAAGAAAAGCATCCAAATCCAACAAAAAGAAAGAAATGATAAAAATTTGAGAATAAATGAAATAGAAAACAAAATGTCCAAAAGACTAGTGAAACCAAGAATTGCATCTTTGGAAAAAATAAATAAAATCATCAAGCCATTAGCTAAGTTTACAAAGAAAGAAACCCCATTAATCAAATCAGAAATGAAAGAAATGAACTTCTATCGGATACTGCACACATACATATGATCATAAAAACCTAATACAAAAGCCTCTATAAAAACAAACTGCACAGGGCCCTCCCTGGTGGCGCAGCGGGTTAAAGCACTGCACTGAGAAGCGTAAGCCACTTCTGCATGAGTTCGATTCCCGCCTGCCCTGGAGGTGACCACATGGAGTGGCAGACCTCTCCTGACCCGC